TACGCCCATTTTAGAGATGATAAACAGGCACAGAGTAGTTAAAAGTAATTTATCCAACCTCTAAGAGGAAAAAAGGAGCCAGAATTCACATCCAGGCAGCCTGTCTCTAAATCCCATTCTATGAGCAACTGTAGTGTGTCTCCTTCCGCTTAGAGACTTAAATATTGTGTAGAGGACTAACATCTTTTTGGTACTGGGGATCGAACTCGGGACCTGCACTTCCAAGGCAGGCCCCAGAACCACTGAGCTAAATCCCCGGCCCTGAGGCTTAAATACTATGGACCAAACAGAATGCACTAGTGGGACACAGCTGAAGAGCCCAGATGCAGACTCAACTATACAAGTGGTAATGAACATGTACAGTAAAAGTTTACATTTTAAAAGATATATTGCAGTAAAGGATACACTGCCACTGATCCCCCTTCAAAAGACTCCCCTCTCACTTCAAATACACATCCCACCATTCTTGCCACTTTCCTAAGCAATTCTGAAAGTCCTCTTTCATAAATATCATTAGTTATACTGTGATAGCTGCCTTGATTTCCTGAATCAATTTAAATCATTAACCTTTCACTGTCATTTTGACTTTGGGGAAGAGGCAGAAGTAGTGTGATGCCAAATCTAGTGAATAAAATGGATGAGGACACACTGTAATGTTTTTACAAGCCTGCCTTTCCACGGGATGGCACTTGGCAGCAAGATTTTCTGTATTTTTGACTACATCTCATAAAAACATTCAGGAGAGAAGATGCCGAGAACTGTTTCAGAAAGTGACAAGAACATTGGGATTAGTGTGTCAAAGCGAGAGGGTATGTTTTGAGGGGAATTAATGGCAACGTGTCTTTTTTTGGGGTGGAGTACTGGGGATTGAACTCAGGACCTTACACTTTCAAGGGAAGTGGCAGCACCACTGAGCTAAATCCCTGGCCCAGCAATGTGTCTTCTACTGTAATAATTTTAAAAATTTAAACATTTACCATATATTTTTATCACCCCTTATATTAAAAACAAATAATGGAGACAAGTGGATCATACAACACAAGCTGCTGCCTTATTTATTTATTTCCAAAAAGTGTAACTTTATCTCACTCCATTTATTAAAATAAATTTCAAGTGGTTTTAAAGAATTACTTGAGTATCTGGAACCAAGATGATACATTTGACTTCCTCTCTTATCATTCTTGATAAAATGACTCAACTAATTTCATAGGTTTCCCTAACAGGACCTTTATCCATAAACCTGAACCCTTGAGAAGAGTCAGCAGGAAATGGGGTAGTAAGAGTATGGAGATTAGAAAGCCCATTCAGCAGCTACATCCCAGCACATCAACAATAAAACTACTGCTATTTTATCAATTATTAAGAGTCAGATATCCTACTAAATGCCTTAAGCTATTATCATCTGCACTAGAAAACCACTGTTCAGAGGCTAAACAAGATGACAATGTTATACAGCTAGTAAACAGCAGAGCCAGGATTAGAACACAAGCTTAAATTCTGAATCAATGCACTCTCCATAGGGGGCCAAGCCCACCAGGATGCCCTCTTTGGAGTCTCTGGACACTCCCGGCATAGGGGCAGGGGCGAGGGGCAAGACCAGAGTCAGAGAACCAGCTGCACCTTGCTTCTGCCTGGACACCGAGCCACAGAAGCGACATTACCCCAGCAGGTCTCGAGTGGCCAAAGCAGACACAAAAGGGACACTGTTTCTGAACAAAGGCATACTCTGCCCTACAGCTGTCTCCTACCTCCCACCTTCCACGGCCCACATCCCTACTCCACACAAACTATTAGAACTCTGAACTGCCAACAAAAAATTACAATAAATCTAACCCCCCTCCATTTTTGCATGGAAAAGAACAGAACAATGACCTACACAGTCTCTGACAAAGCATATTGCAGTTACCAATACTGAATCAACTAGACTGTGCTTCCCAGTTGAGTGAACTGAGAAGTAGCAAACCAGACAGGAGAAAAGACTCAGTTATTTCAAGAGAATTGGTAAATTTTGGGTAATTAAGGTAAGTTCAAAAAATAAGACAAGTTTGCAATTTTTAAAATTCAAAAGGGCACTGCACCACTGACACAAAAGTGACTATGAAGCCACTCATGGTATCAAACATCTGTAATCCCAGCACTCGGGGAGGCTGTGGCTGGATGGAGCATCACAGGTTCTAGCCCAGCCTGGGCAACTTAGCAAGACCCTGTCTCAAAAGGGGAGGGGGTGGCACTGGGGGTGCAGCTCAGTGCAAAAGTCCTGGATTCAACTCTCAGTACCATAAATAAATAAACAAATCAACAGAAAGAGCTCAGGGGTAGAATGCTTGCCTAGCATGCCTGAGGGCATGGGTTCAATCCCCAGTACCACAAAAAATAAAATGATAGAGGAAAAAAATAAAAACAATACCAAATAGAAAAATAATCAGTAGCTGGGCATGGTGGCACATACCTGTGATCTCAGCACCTCGGGTTACTGCAAGTTCAAGGGCAGCCTGGGCTACATAGTGAGTTCAAGGACAATCTTACCTATATAGCAAGATGCTATCTCAAAAATGTTTTTTTTAAATATTTTTCATTAAAAAAGAAAAATAAGGGCCAGGGATTTAGCTCAGTGGTTCTGCCATCTGCCTGACAAGTGCAAGGACCCAAGTTCGATTCCCAGTACCAAAAAAAAAAAAAAGAAAGAAAAGAAAAATAATAAGTCAAGTAGGGGTAATAAGTAAATAATGGAGGAAAACAACCTACAGATAAGTTTTTCAGACTGAAATTGTTCACTCAGAGGTTTGCAGAATTCATCATAAAAGTGCCATGCATCCTAGGAGAATTTCTAAATGACAGAGAAAAAAGTTCAATAGACATCTTTTTTTTTTATTAAATTCTTTTACTGGTACATGGTAGGTATACAACACAATTACACTGCTCATTGGAAATTGTACCTTTACATAATGCATCTTGGTTCTCTTTTTTTTCCCATTCCTAGCACTCCCTTCACGCCCTCTACCCTTCCCTATTTATAAAGACTTTATTTCTATTTTTTCCATTTCTCATCATTTTTCCTTTCCCTTCTTTCCTTTCCCC